AACGAGTCCATCAAGTTGGATAATTCTATGGTTTTGAAAATCAATACTTACCCTGAGATTAAGGGTGGGTCTCTACAGCTTTTACCTCCCTTAGTGTATTCAAAGGAAACTGATTCTTTGTGTCTCTTGAGGGTAATTGCTTGTGGTCTTGCATATCTAGTTTTTGAGCGCAAAGCGGCTGCGTTGAAAAAAGGGGATACTCACAGAAATAGAGCGCGAAATCCAGTTCTAAAACGCGCTAAGGAGGAGTTTGAACATTTATGTAACAAAATAGACCTTGCCAACGATGAGGGGCTTCGAATTGCTAGATTAACTCGTCCGTCTTTTGAAGCTAGTGGTGAAAAGATGACTATTAGTGACGTTGAATGGCTAGATGTAGGACTAGGCATTAAGGCTCGCCTTTTTGTTTACAGTGCAGTTACTGGCTGTACCCTTTATGCTAGTGGCAAAGAACCAACTCTTCCGATTATCAAGATTTCATGGGTTCCTTCGACGGAACATTTTGAATTAATAACTAATATTCGGGACTATTTTTCTGGAAAGGGTAGGCCACAACTCTCGCATGTATGCGATTTCTGTGGTGAAATTGCTCGCCGTAGGGACAGACACCTTGATTGCAAATTTTCATGCATCAAGTGCCATAGGTTGGGGACCTGCTTGCCTGATGACTCATCACTTAGCTGCCTAAACTGCAAAATTACTTTTCCAAATGCCAAATGTTTCGAAGGACACTTGGAAAAACGTAAGGAAAAAGATGGTTTGTTTGGCCCAACGCTACAAATGTCTGGAATGTAATGGTACCTTTACAAGGAATCTTCGACCAATGGAAAAACACAAATGCGATGAGGCCCTATATTGCTTAAAATGTCAGGATTATCGGCGGGCGAATCATGAGTGTTCTTGGGGCCGGCTTTCCACTAGACAGGCTGAACCAAATTAAAAATGGGTCAGCTCTTTTCAAATATACTTTTGCGGATTTTGAGACACAAATCAATGATGTAGAAGAGGATGGTACGATCAAAATGTTAGCAGAGCAAAGGGTTACAACCGCCTGCGCAAAGCAAATTTGTAACCAATGCTGTCCTGACCCATTTGGCTCCATCAGATAATACCTTGTAGAAAAACAATCGGTTGCCAATGTGTAAAGGAGTTAGTTTCTCCTCTAATAAAAGCTGGGAAGGGACTTCATCTGCACTTTAGATGATTTTGCAGATGGATTTTCACGGATCCAACCAACAATAATTCCTACGCGGATCTTTCATAATGGCCGGAAGGTTTGATGGACATTTTATTTTTTGATTGGCTGTTGCAGAGGGAATAGAACCGACAAGTTATTTCGGGTGGCCAAAAATTTTACTCGATAGGGACAGAAAAGCCTCGACGTTCTGCCCTTGAAGACGCGTGATGCATCCCAGGAATATCCAATCGAAAATCTGAGACAATATTAAAATCATCGACAGCTTGAATTTTTACGCTAGTGGCTTTGAACAAGTTTGAAAAGACTTGGGGCGTTCCAGCTACCAAGGATTATTTTCCAATTTATGCCAATTGTTAAAAATTTGATGGCGATGTGCCTCGGCCATCTCTTCGATACTATAACACTAGTTCAAAAATGGCTAAGGAAATTTCTGATATTGGACGGTTTTTATCAGAAAACTCTGTGAAAAGAAGTTCAATTTACAGGAAGAACTGGTAAAATATTGCATACAAGATTGTGAAGTCTTGCTCCAAGGCTGTATGCGTTTCCGACAGCTTTTTATAGAGCTTAATAATCTGGATCCCTTCAAATATAGCCTTACTCATGGGGGGGCTTGCTTACTTGCCTTTAGAATGAATTACATGCCAGAGGAGCTCAAACTAGCCCATTTACCGGAGAGGGGTTTTGAAGTTGGCTCAAATCAAAACCATAGTAAGATTTCACAGAAATATCTCAAATGGCTAGAAACAGTAAAGGGACACGACATTCAACATTGGGATAATGGTGGAGAAAGAAACTGGTTCTAAAAACGGCAGAAAAATTTATGTGGATGGTTATTACGAGAGGAATGGGAATCAGCACATTGTCGAAGTTCACGGATGTTACTATCACGACCATACTTGTCTTCCAAACCGTCATCAACTAGGACATAGGGGAAAAGAGGCTGGAGAACTCTATGCTGAAACAATGGCACGTTCTCAAACAATTCGAGAATGAGGGCTATCTTTTGGAAGAAATCTGGGAATGTCAAATTCGTCAAATGTTGGATGCAGACCCAGAAATGGCAAAATTTTTCGACGAAGTGAAAGTTATTGGTGTTTTGGAGCCCAGAGAGGCATTTATGGGCGGCCGAACCCAAACGTTTAGAACAGTGGCGAAAGCATCGGAGGACGAGGAAATTTCTTACGACGACGTCAATTCGCTTTACCCCTTTATTAATTGCAAGACCGAGTATCCTGTGGGGAAGTATAAGCAAATTGTTAGACCGCGGCTTTCCGAAACGGCCACTCTAGAATGGAGGGATGCGACGCCCAATGGACTCTATTATAAACTAAAATATCGAGGCTTCTATTATTGTCAAGTTTTGCCTCCAAAGGACTGTAAGATTGCTATTCTACCAGTACGCTACAAAGAGCGGTTGATCTATCCATTATGCAATGCTTGCATGGAAAGCTGCATAAATTCTGGGAAGAATCTGGGAAACGTGAAATGTGACCACTTAGTTGGGGAGCGATATATTCGAGGAATATGGTTTAGTGACGAACTTGGCTATGCTTTGGAGAACGGTTATCGCCTAATTCAAGTCTATGAAATTGTTTATTGGCTTGAAAAGCAATGGACTAATCAATTATTTACCGAATACTTCAAAAAGATGATTGCTATTAAGCAACAAGCCTCTGGATGGCCTGTTGACTGTATTAACGATGTATGCAAGCGGAAATATGTAGAGGAATTTGAGAAGCAAACGGGCATTATTTTGGATCCATCAAAGATTGAACGAAACGAAGGATTGCGTTATTTGGCAAAAATTATGTGTAATAGTCTTTGGGGTAAATTTGGACAAAAAGCTGATCATGCAAATGCAAAGTTGTGTAAAAATAGGGAAGACATTCTGACCGTAATTTCGAACAATAATGTCGTTTTGACTGGTGAACACGACTTTCCGGAGAGCGGTTTCCGCCTTTTGAAGACTAGAGCACGCAGCGAAACGGTTCACTCCACATCAACTGGTTCTTTGGCTGTTGCTTGTATCACTACTGCAGCTGCGCGCCTTCACATGGTGAAGTTAATGAGGAAGTGGAAGAGGCTGGGGCCATCTTGGCTTTATACCGACACTGATAGTATTGTCTATCTTCACAAAAGAGACTCTCCAACAATTAAAGGTTTTAAGTCCTTGCATTGCGGAAGTAGCTTGGGTCAACTATCTAGCGAAATACATCCAAATCACCGTGGGATGATTTTCATCTCGCCTGGACCAAAACAATACGTTCTACGGGAAATTGACGACGAGGGAAACGTAAAGGATACGGCCAAGTTGCGTGGTATCACCCAAAATTACGAAAATAAGGGGAAGGCCACGTTGGAAAATCTTGAGCTGCAGACTCGAGCTCTGATAGAAGGTCGACAAACTGATATTGAACCAATAAGATTCGTCTATCAACGGATTAAAAAAAGAATTTTGGAAAGATTTACAATCAGCCTGTTAATATCGACTATTATGCTAGAAACCTTAAAGGATTGCTGCTTGAGGATGGTCAAGTTCTCCCTTATGGCTATAATTTTGATTGTTGTGATAAGTTGTAAACATTGTATGCGATAAATATTTTGTGTAAAAAACATTGCAAGGTACAGGGGAAGGGGTGACGCAGAAATGCCACAATTGCAGGGGACTGACGCATAGGGCCCATAATAGTAGTACGCGGGCTCTTCTGCTTCTCGTTATCAGACTACAACAGATATGGGCGCTCCTTGTTTCGCGCGCCTTTTAGATAACGCTCCAGATAAGGCACTATTGGCTTGATTATGGTCCCACCGGAACATCAGTGACTTCTGGGGGCGGTGTCGGTACATCAGCTCTAGTTGATAAGTTCCATCCAGAGGATGCCTCGCATTCAGTTTTTATCATCCCGAGCTGCGGATTTTCCATTTCTTAGTAATCTATCCTGCTCAACAAACACGAAAATAGAAATCCCACGTCCACGAGCCCTCCCTGGATTTTATGCTCTTGAAAATATGCCTCGAAGTGTCATTTTTTGCGTGCCTAATACAGGGTGTCCCAAACCCCCCCCCCCCTCTAGAGGCCGTCAATCGGATCGGATCGGAATGATTTTTATACCAATCGAAAGCTCTCGGAAATGCGAGAAAACAAGCGGGTTTCGTTTTCTAAGATTTGATCTGATTCTATCGATATTTCAGGTTTTCCTAAAAAGCCGAGAATTTTTCATCAGGAATTTCGCAATTAGCATGCAGATCTCGCATAAATCAGCAGTTTTCATGGTTTTTGGACATAAAATTAGCAAATAAAAAGGTTTAATTAAGAAATTCAACCCTGCTTGTTTCCTCGCCTTTTCGAGAGCTTTCGATAGATATCTAAATCGTAAAAATCGGAATCGACTGCGGACCGCTAGGTAGGGGGTTTTTTTTGGGACACCCTGTAGAGTCTGTATTATTTTTTTGGAAGGATCGGTCCGTCAACCAGTATCATAGAGCGTCGTTTAATTGGTTTCTTACTAGAATTCATTAAAGGTAAAATTTCCCACTTTTAATAGACTTTAGTCCGGCCAACCCGTATTTACGGCGTCAAGCAGCATAGTGCTGTAGCGATCTAATTGCCGGTTGGCCATTCCGGTTGGCCATTTTTGGTAAATAGCCATGGCGGGGGTACTTGGGGGTGGTCGTTCATCTTGAACTCTTTCTATTTCTCCCGGGTTCAACCGGACCCAAACCGGAAGTGGCCGATTTCAAAGAGTTACACCTTCCGTCAGATGGATCCACAGAACTACAGACACCTCTATGTTCCTGAATGATGTTCGACGAGAGCGCTATCGTGTTGATCCTCCCTATCGTCTTCACAATTTTTTTATGCATCGGCTCTGCGGTAGTAATATTATTTTTAACGATCCTGATATATGGATGGAGCTCGTTTAAAGACGTGGGTAATTTCAAGGTTTTGGAACTGCTATGGTTCTTAGGAATTTAGCCTTCCTTGTCTTTTTAAAAAACATTTTAAGAATCAGTGTCTAACGTTGTCCGAGCCTTAAGCCTCAGTTCCTAAAACTTAATGTCCGCTAATTAACCTAAAAAACAAGGAAAGACGCAGACAAGGCTTTCTACATTATCAATTTTCTGAGCCAAGGGAGTACTATTTTTTTGCATTTCCGGTATCTTCAATGTCTCAAAAATCACAAGGAACCGAGAGGGAAAGGTTCTTGACCAAATATAAGTCGGGAGGAATCGGAAAATTTGCCAGAATCCGAACTATGCTCGAACATCGTTTTTTCCAGTCCCCATTCTACGAAATTGTGGTCTGCGTAACCGTAGTCGACTTGCTACACATGTTGCTGCAATGGTTCCAGACATTTCCAAAATTGATGTTTCCGAAGAGCAGTTTCGCAATAACTACATGGCTCGATCGAACCATTATTGGTAGGTGAGTCTCGAAATGCTGCAAATGCTAGCACTATCCTACCTTATATAATTTTGGCGTGTAACTGTGTGTGTGTGTGTGTGTGGATGTCACTTTCGAGGCCCGATTTGAGGGCCTTCCCGTGCATAAAATGCCCTAATTCTCCGTCACCCGGGGTAATCGACCCTTCTGTTTTCGATGGCGTCCTCAGAATTTCGATAAAATACAAGTTTACAAAGTTAAAGCCGGTTGTATTCATTTTTGGGGGTCCCTGAGGGCTAATTTGCATAATGCGCAAAAATACAAATTTCCTCATTCTTGCCAGTTGCACTCGCGTGTGTGGCCGGTGGGGGGAAGGGGTCCGAAGGACCCGAGCTATCGGGAAGTCAAACTTTTCATGCAAAGGCCGCATTCCAGCGCCCAAGGCCCGCGAAGCGGGTTTTGGGCGCTGGTCTGAAAATATTAAAAGAGGAATCAATATCGAAAAAGGAAGGAATCAAGGAATTGGTTACGACTAACGATAAGGTCATGGCCATTAAATAAAACCCTTTACTGTGAAAAATTCTGTTAAGGCCCATACGGACCCGACACGACCGATCAGGCACTTCACATTTTTGTTTTTCTGATTTCGTTGAACCGTTTCGCAGTATTTGTCGTCCCAAAGCTGCTGATCATGTTCACCAGGTAATAAATTCAGTAGGGATCGCTCTCTTCCCCCCTCGCTCTCTCGCTCTCTCTCTCTTTCTCTTGCTCTATCTCCCACGCTCACTCCCTCTCCCTCCGTCTCTCTCCCTCTTTCTCTTTCTCTCTCTCCCTCTCTCTCTCTCTCTTCTCTCTCTCTCTCTCTCTCTCTCTCTCTCTCTCTCTTTCTCTTTTCCTCCATCTCTCTCCCGCTCTGGCTATCTAGCCGGGATCATTGTGCAAATTCGATTTCCAGACGCACCATGCCGTTGACGATCAGTGCCTGCCTAATTTTTCTTGGCGGACTAATGTTCCTTCGCTCAATGGGACCCAGAAGGCAGTTGACGAACGATCCACGGGACCAACACCCTCCCGATCAACCACCGCCACCTATGGAGACCACAGCAAGACCGTTCAACATTGTCGCTTTTCTGCCAACGGTCATACAGTATGGGATGCCCTTGATCAGTCTCGTCTTCTATGTGCTTATCTATTTAGAACTGCGGCAGCAAAGGTGTGGTAATTGGTGCATAAAATGGAAACGACTTACGCTAGGGTAAAAAATGTCAAAACTAACCACTTGGAAATTCATAATGTCAAAAATTCATAATGTAGAAATTTGAGAATGTCGAAATTTACATAAGTAAACGTAAAAATTTTCTGCATGTGAAAACTTCGACCTAGGAAATTTCGACATCCTAAAATTTCGAAAAGGAAAAATCAATTTTAGACAAAAAACTACAACAACCATAAAAAACCACGACAAGACCCTGCTGTTACAGGTGTTTATCGAGTCCGTACTTCTCGAGGTAGATCATTTATGCAAATGGAGAATTTGCCCCCACTAAGATGGTACGCGGAATCGATTTGATACCACCGTTAATGGACGGCTCACCGACAGCAACGTTGCTCGATTCGGCCAAGTTTATGGCGACAGGTGCGTAGCGTAGTCGCTTGGCATTGTAGCCTAAAATCTTCTCTCCATAACCTCAAAGATTTCATTTTCTAGCTTGTTTATATCTAATTTTACCCTATATTATTTAAAATTAATTTTGATATTGATTCCATGATTGCTACAGGTTAAATGGATCAGCGTGGATCAATAAAACCTTATTTTTTTAGTGTGCAGCCACGCCCTAAATTCGATCTTCTTCCTCGCCATGAATCATACCGTACACACCGTTCTACGGTCCATGCAGCCGTGCTTTAGTAGAACATCAAAACTTCCGCTTTCAACGCTTAAGCAGGTGGCTAGGTATCTCCAGAAAGTATGGCTTGTGATCATAACTTTTTGTTCAGAGGTCGTGCAGCTTCCCATCCAGCCGTCATAACATTGACTCGTCATTCGAATGCCCGCTAAATTTGAATAAGCGGAGAAACAAGGAGAGAGAGAGAGCGAGAGAGAGAGAGAGAGAGAGAGAGAGAGAGAGAGAGAGAGAGAGAGAGAGAGAGAGCGCGTGAGAGAACCAGCGAGATAATGGGCAACACATGTAACGCTCTGAGAAACTGTTATTTTTAAAGAGCCATGCAACAAAATAATACTAATAACGTGTCGGCGCAGTAATAAACGCTTTACAAATACAAATGAACTCGGCAAATCGGCAAACAAATCTAATCTAAAAAGCTAATCTTCTAAAAATCGAGATGTAGTTAGTCCAGTTACAAGCATATTTTTCGTTAGGGGTACCTTAATCGGGATTGATGGTTAAAAACGCCTTGTATAGTACTTGCTAGACCTCCCGAACCCCCCCAAACCCCCTAACGAGGGGGTTGGGAGGGGGTTTAGGGGGTGGGGTTCGGGAGGTCTAGTACTTGCCATCTGTCGGGGGATTAAAAAGGGCAAAGATGAGGGGTCCCGTAGCTAGGGCCTCAATACCCATGGTCGTCCACTTGACACAGATACCATTTAGCTTGTCCGACCCTTTGTCCCAACCATTTGGCAACCTCATTTAATTTTGATATTTTATCGATCAGCTGGTAATCAGCCTTCCGCTTGCCTCACAGCGCAAAAATTTCAGCTGCCTTGTCAATGCAAAAAATTCGGGTTCCATGTAATCGGGTTCCATGTATATTCATGTAAAATCCTCATGGAATTTAATTTGTCTTAACTGCTTCTCACAACAGTTTCTCATTACTAGACAACTTGGTAGATTGACCGTTGCTCATCCGGTTCGAAATTAAGAAATGTTTTTGATCGTTTCAGGCCGTCGCAGCCTGGCTTTGGTAACTTCTCCAATATAAACGCTTTCATCGCAAATTTGGCGTCTTCGGTGACCTCGCCTGCATGCGAGGGACATATCAGGTTGGTAGATAAGTCCTGTCACAATTTTTTGAAATCGCTCTATGAAGCCACTGAAACATTCAATTTGGGCTTTCGATACATGATTTGATAGGTCTTCGGACGCTCTACCTCAGCATGACCCTCCTAGGACCCCAAAGTCGCTGGTCACCGAGATACAGCTTCGAAATGTTTCGTTCAAAATCTAGTCACAGCTCTCGAGCGAGTTATCTCTGCATAGAACAATTTGCATGCGATACCTTGAACGGCAATCGATAGCTCTCGAGGAGTAGATATTGATAGATGTTGAGATCATCAAAATTGGACATCGGATGACCGAGATATGACCCCTTGAAATTTAGCCCATTTCTTAGAACTTTTTCCCAAATCCCATACATTTTTCACATTTGGGCCAAACTTTGCTGCTTTGTTTTTGAGCGCACCGAGAAGAGTTTGTCAAAATGTATGGGATTTCGAGAAAATTTCTAAGAAATGGGCCAAATTTCAAGAGGCCATATCTCGGCCATCTGATGTCCGTTTTTGATGATCTCAACATCTATCGATATCTACTCCTCGAGAGCTATCGATTGGTGTTAAAGGTATCGCATGCAAATTACTCTATGCAGAGATAACTCGCTAAAACACTTTTTGCGTAATTATTCAAAAATCTTCAAGGGCCGTTATCTCGGCGAGCCACAATTTCCAGACCCTATCCGACTGCACCCACGGTAGAGCATCTCAAGACCTATCAAATCATGTATCACAAATGAAAATTGGACGTTTCTGCGGCTTTATAGAGCGATTTCGAAAATTTGTGACAGGACTTATCTACCAACCTGATACATGCATCTATGACGTCGACGTGGAAAACACGGAAAGGTAGGCAGCAGCTTGCTTGGGAATCACGCTTCTTCTTCTCCGCAATCTGATATGCCATATAAAAATATTTATTTGGTGAAAAGCAAAATAAAGGGACGCGGAAGTGCCAAATATAAGAGCTTATGGGAGGCGCCTTATATTTCTGGAAAACTGCCGGCGTCGCAGCGGGAGGAGAGAGAGCCCTGGCTTTTTCGATCCTTGCGCGATTTCTTTGTGAAAACACTATAATTCGCAAATCGCCAGAAATATAAGTGCCCAAAGAGCTTATAGTTAGCACTTCCACGACCCTTTAAGCGCTGCATCGTAGTCTAAACACCGCCAAGCAACCCTAGAAACCCTGATTTTTCAGAACATTGCGGGAACTTCAAACGCCATCTGTCACTCCTCTAACGGGTGACTTCGCCGGGGCGGCCATACTAGGCCCTGGGGGAGGCCGCCGTCTCGTATAAAGCTGGCCCGCTTGGCCCCTTTCCTCACTCCTTCCAAATCCCCCCAACCCCAACTTCGCCCTTGGCTCGGCCCGCCGGTTCCACTTAGGACCCGACAAGAGCTAAAGGGGATTTGGTGTGTTTAAGTGCTACGCAATAAACATCATACCTTATAATAGCCGCACCCTATTATAATAACATCCAAAATCCACTGAACACTACACCGACGCGAATATAGGTGCGACACCATCAATTTTGGCTGGCAATTCCAATAAGCCGCGAGACCAGGTTCTAATTCTATTATTCCGGACCTGTACACAAACCGAACTACACGCCGCAATTCTATTATTCCGGACGCGTTCCTATTAAAGTACTGATAGAACATCATTCATAGAACATCATTCCAACCAAACCGGCAGCACCAACATCAAATTATAAATTCACTTCCTCGGACGTGCGTGAATTCTATCATTCGACCCCGACATATAAAAATTCGAAGACACAAATCGACTAAAAAAACCCGAGATCTCTTTCCACGTGAGGCTGTCTGCCTTGCCACATACTCCTGTCAGTGCGGGTCGTTTTCGCGGAAAATCCGCTGTTAACCCAACAATAACTCATTCTATGCACACAATTCCACGATCCTGAGGACTATGGACAATCGCTTCCCCTTGCATCGTGCTTGAGAGTCAAAGCTACGCATGGCTGTCTGGCAAGCTTGCGTCCTTCGTCGGCCGAAGCATGGCAGCCGATGAGTAATCGAACCCGTGTGAGTTTTGGCATCGCGTTTTGCCACAAAAAATACTGTTGTATGTGCGTGAAGTCCGTGTAATTTAAAGACAACAATGTTCTCAGGGCAGGGCGGTATAGTTATCATTATTCTTAGTCTTTCAGAAAGCAAACCATCGCGGCTTTTGTGGTAGCAGATCGGTTTCCGCTGGCCCGCTATAAAATCAACTCATTAAAACAGTAGCTCGAACAACATAAAAATTATTTATTTTCTTACAAGCTGAAGTCTATCGACAGGCCAAAAAATATTTTTTATACATCTTTCAAACAGTTTCTTTTCAGAGACGACACTCCGGAGCTGTGCCGTCAGTCGGATTCGCAGTTTACCAATTCTTCGATTGAAATCCTCCTCACAAATTTCTTGCTGAATAAATATTTTGTGTGTAAAGAATTCGTATGGATCCATCATTTTATCGCCATTTACAAGAAAATGCAAAGGCAAGCTCCCAGATTTACAAAGACATTATTGCTGTTTTGCTAAATTGTCAAGATTAAATTTCTCAAATCGAAAATATATTTTAATCGTCAGATCTTCCTATAGCTATTATCTAAGACGTGCGAAAACGCTCATAAAGGCAAGGAAAACATCCTTCTCTCGGAAACCCCGGAAAAAAATCGATAGCCAATTTCTTGCGCTATAAATTCCCGGTGTCCCACTGGCCGGCTCCTCGCCAAAATGGCGCCGATTTCTCTGTTTTCGGACATTCTTTAGGTTTCTCTGCAAATTTTAAGTTGTGTATTCTCATCCATACAAATTGAGTTTTTTCTCTACTTCACAGCATTTTAGCTTCACCCAAAAATGGATTACGGCGAGGAAATCGGCGCGGGAACCTACGGCGTTGTTTATTTGTGGCGCGATGGCAATGAGTATGCTTATTTTTTCTAAATACAATTTTTACAGTGCTGTGATAATTAAGCGTCCACAAACACGTGGTCGCTATGACGAATTCCGAGAAGAATTACTGATTTTGAAGAAATTTGCGCACCCAAATATTGTCAAGTATCGGGACCGTCCGGTTAATTACAAAGTCGCTTCCGAAGATCTGTTAATATTTATGGAGTATTGTGAGCATCATTCTTTGCGAAATGGTAAGTTTTTGGTCTATTTGGTTTGTTCAATTTAATTATGTAACCTTCGAAAACCATTTAAACTTTTAGGTAGGACCTCGTTATAGAAAATACTATTTTGTGTATTCCAGATTGAAGTTTATTTTAGTAATCAAATCACCTCAATACATCTACCATCTCAACAATATTATTCAATGGTTGAATCATATTTTCTGCGGTCTGGAGTATTTGTACATGCAGGAGACGGTTCACGGGGATTTGAAGCCGGAGAAGTAAGCTTTAAAGTCTCACGAAGTTGAAGTTTTTCTTAGTATTTTCGTGGACAAGGACTTCGTGTTGAAACTAGGTGACTTCGGCAGCCTCAAGCAGATTGGCGAGTCCGCTGAATTACACGCGGTCCTGCAAGTCGGGACTCCGGGTTATATGGCACCAGAATATTCGATAATGTCGGTTTCGCAGTTGACGGCGGAGGTAATCTATGCTTCGATGATTTCCCGATTTGCGAAAGCGTCCTTTACTTCAATTTTTAGCAACGCTATAAAGCTGACGTCTACAGTTCTGGGATCGTGTTGATGGAAATGGTCAATCGTCGGTAGTCTTATCGTAATTCCGCAAAAACCAATTGCTGCTCGCAGAACTCACTTTCCAACCTCCGATATAGGTTTTGACTTTGAGGCGCCGGAGTATTTGCTGGAAATATTGTCATCGTAAGGAAACCCGAAAAGGCCGCCGATTAAAATTTACTGCTTACAAATAGGTGCACAACAAATTTCGTGGATCAAAGGGCAACTTACCGCAAAGTCCTGCAAAAACTACAAGAGCTAGTACAAGAAGTACGTTTTGATTAATAATGCTGCCACAATTTTCATTCTAGTGTAACGCTCCTGAAATTCGCGCGGGTCAAAAGTGGTTAGTGAAACCGATTGGACTTGATGGCACGAACCATCAACTTCCGGTTCCTAGCGAACTGTCCGCAAATACCGTCTGCAGTTGGGCGCTGGACAGCCAGCAAGGCGATCTGCCTGGTCCCTCAACAGGCGTCATCCGTACAGAACAATATGCTCCGTTCGACGATCTGCTCGAAAAAGTGAGGGCCGAGACGAATTTTGATTCTCGGATCATCCGGCGGCGCTACTGCCGGGCCGCCTGGCAGAATTTGCGCGACGTTTATGGCCATCCGGATTCGTGGCCAGGCATTGGCGATATCAACATTATTCGGGCTTCGTTGACCGAAAAAGTTATCATATACCTCGGACTGGTTGCCGACAAAAAGGCTTTCGTCAAAAACCTGACCGAATGCAGCGGTTTCCTGGGTGGTGCGCCGTTTGATGATATTCTGGAATGGCGACCCATTGATTTCGATCTTAATGAAACGGGGTGAGCTTCTTAAATGTGATTAAACGTTAAATTTTAGTGCAAATGGCCAGGGCCCGATGTTGCGAGACGATGAAACAGGTAAGCCATTTTAACCTTCAGCTTCCCTGGCTTTGGCAGAAAAAATTAGCAAAACTGAGCGACGATTTCCAGGAGTAAACAGAAAAAGCGCTTTCAGTTCGTCTTCGCGCTGTCTTCGCGCTCATACCCTTGCGCCAGTTTGACTATTTTATCGAAAGCCACTGTATCATTACGGCGCTAGAAGTGCTCACGGTTTACCTGACGACCCAAGACCGGTTATCGACGGAGGACTTATGCAAACTCGTATCAATTGCCTTAGAAAATATCGAGCAGCTCGATGCGGTGTTCACGAAACGGTGAGGGCATTATTTGACTAGATGGCAATGCGAAAGCTCTTTGCAACGCCCGCTAGTTTAGCCTCGAGTTCCCAGTGCTATGCTACGAGGCGACCCGAGATGTGTGGCTGGAGGTGGCGCCGCTCGGCATGGTTTTTCGAGACGACTTGAGTGCCGTGCGCCCAATCTCGAGTCAGGATCGAAACCGGCGCACAGGAAAAACAGCTCCAATAGGTATCTTAGATGCGCTATGAGTAAGAGCATCCAATCTTAGATGTTCAAACCGTCCGACGCACGTTGATCAGCGCCATGGCTACGCTTCGGCAACCCACCTTGTATCCGAGCCGTGCTTATCCGCATCTACGACTAGATTACTGGCGCCAATGGATATTGACCAAGGGCATGGGGATGGGATTGGCTATGGAGGTGCGTTGATATGCAGACTACCGCAATATAATAGTTCCTTCAGCTCAAGTACGATCATCAAAAATCGATGTCACAGGTCGACCTCGAGCACGAGCGACTTGTAGCCGAGGTGCCGGAAATTACCAAGAAAGATATTTTACAGGTTGATTAGTTCTCATCAGGTCCTTTATGAATTGAAACGCCATTGAATATCCCAAGGGGTACTTGAGTATTCCGGGGAGAATTCGCGGGGCGGGGGAACCGAACTTTTTTTCGGCTCAGGCCTAGATTTTTTATATAAATAGTGGAAGTGTTTCTAAATTGTTTATAGCTATTCCTAAGCATACAAACTTTACAAAATTTAATTAAAAAAATTTAATTTTAGGTCGAAAAATCAATTTTTTCGACCCAAAAATGACAAAATTTTTGACTTTTTCAAGCGTTTTTCTAACTTTTAAAAAAGTTTTTGATGCTATTAAAATAGGCTTAAATTTTGCTAAGAGAACAATGTGAAAACACTTTATATTTGATTACTATTCCCACCAGGGCCAACAGAAAAAAAGTGGGTTTCCCCCCGCGAATTCCCCCCGGTCGATCCACTTAATGATATTTCATTTTTAAGAGATACCTCTTTTTCGTCGATGATTATCCGACTTATCCGTGCGAACACGGGACTGCAAGTCATCTAGCGGGTACATGCCGTTTTTGTCTTATTAATTACTCGCTCGGTTTCCTCATTTCGATAAATATTTTTCAGCTAGCGCGAATAATGAGCGCCAGGGATTGTTGGATTCACCTGGGTCATGCGAACACTCATGTGCGAGCCCTGAACAGCTCGCTTTCGCAAAAGCCCATTCGCTGATGAGCCGCCTTATCCGTTACTTCGAGGTGCTCATCCAAGCGCCGGGCCGAATTCGCTTACTTGTCTTCCTCCTTGAAGGCTTATGGCGCGAAGCCGTGGAAACGGAGGTAGAACACTAGCGCCAAAAATGCATGGCAACCTGTCTTTGAGTGATTAATACGGTTATTTCAGGTAACCAACATCTCCTTGAACTTTTTGGCCGCGTCCGGTACGCACGAGCCGGACCTAAAAATCCCAAACGAGCGCGTCGCCATCGAGAGACGCCAAAAACAGCTGCACCACGCCAGCGTCAACGTCCTTCCGGGCTACGTTGTCCAGTCGCCGCCGAACTTCGACGCCGTGTGCTGGGGACTGAAGCTGGACAGGCATCGCATACCACACGAACTCGACCTGCAATGGCACGGTTAGTGAATAGGAAAAGAGAAGATGAAATATTCTAAAATAAAAAATAGCAACGAATGGTTCAACACGATATTTGGTTTTGTCTCTTGTGGTGCAGAGGAAGCGTGCGCTGTCGTGCCTCGGGCTACACTTTACTTTACCCCCCCCCCCCAGCCGGACTGGCTATAACTTTTTTATTTTACATATTGTAGGCTCAAATTAAAACTGTTAGTATATTTTTCGACGCTCTGTCGAATGGCGTTGCAAAATGGGGGGGGGGGGGGGTAAGGTAAAGTCTTACCGTGCCTCGCGCGTCTCAAATAAAGGATAAAAGTTTATTGATAGAAGCCGGAAATCGTAAAGGGATCAAGCCAAAAAGAACAAAATTTGGCCCGAAATAGTGAGCCCGCCTATAGACGCGGGACCATTACCACACGTAATTGTGAAAACGGTGCTTAGGTTACGATATAGGGCGGCAGACTAGAGTCTAGGCATTTGCATCTCACAAACCGAAAAATACCTACATACTTTCATTGAAGTAATGTATATTATCTCGAGGGCATTACAAAGTATGGGGTTTTAGGCGTCCTTCAAATGAAATTGTCCGATCTGGACCCGGTTTTGATGGAGCTGGCCTCAGAACTGTGGGAGTGGGATGGTGAGCGTAAAATGTTTGTTCAAGTTACAATAATTTCCAGGCTTGGAAGATGACGTTGTAAATCGCCCGAAAAGCTACAGAAAACGGATAAACGAATTAATTCAGCGTCTAGAGGCCTCAGCGGCATTTCAGAAGCGTAAGCTTATATAAGCATATTCAAGGCATCTGATTTCAGAGCCGCTCTGGTGGAATCAGATTCCTGGCGTGGTGGACCTTTGATGAAATCGTACAAGAATGATGGATACATATAAACGCAACGAAATTATGTTTTCTGCCTGCTATGTGTCGTATTCAATAAATGTATTTTCGAAGACTTTAATGATCCGTAACATCACCATTATTGAGATTCGATCTTTTAATAAGAATTTAATAAATTGACTTTAATAAACTCGGTACACCTTTGAATTTGCTCGTAATGTCTCGGCTCAGCCGGCAGCGTGAAGGCAATCCTTATCTGCGGCAAGTGGGCCAGAGAAAATCAATGCTAAATTTTCTCCGCTAGCAGATTGTGGCGAACGCAATGCGGCTTTTTCGAAAGCACCCAACTTTCGAATAATTGTTACACCGGTGTTCAATAAGTTTTTCCTTTTTCTCACTTGCTTTGTATACCTATCAGGTTCTACTGCTTCAGAAAATGGATTACGGCGAGCAAATCGGCGCCGGCACGTATGGGGTCGTCTATTTGTGGCGGGATGGCAACGAGTATCCTTATTTGTCCCTAAAGATTTTTTTTACAGTGCTGTGATAGTGAAACGTCCACAAACACGTGGTCGCTATGAAGAATTCCGAGCAGAATTACTGATTTTGAAGAAATTTTCGCACCCAAATATTGTCAAGTATCGGGATCGCCCTTTTAATTACAAGGTGGCTTCCGAGGACTTGTTGATCTTTATGGAATATTGTGAGCATCATTCGTTGCGAAATGGTAAGAAACCAAATTTATTATATTTGGAAAAATTTTAATAAAGCCTTTACTGCTCTTATAGTTTGAACGGAGCCTTGCACTTTTCAGAAAATAACTCGAGTAAAATATCCAAAAAACCCCAACTAAATTTTAGTAATCAACTCTCCCCAATACGTCTACCATCTGAAGAACATCATGCGATGGTTGAAGAATATTTTTTGCGCTCTGAAGTATTTGTACGGCGAGAAGACCGTGCATGGGGATTTGAAGCCGGAGAAGTAAGCTTTAGAGTATCATCCATTGCAAGTTGTCTGCAGCATTTTCGTGGACAAGGCCTTTGTTTTGAAACTTGGTGACTTCGGGAGCCTCAAGCGGCTCGGCGATTCAAGCGAATTACACGAGCCCTTGCAAGTCGGAACCCCGGGCTATATGGCGCCGGAATATTCCGTGATGGCAGTATCGCAGTTAACGTCTGAGGTCGTAGTTTTTTTTGCGAACGTTCCTTCCTGAGTGTTGTTTCCCGTGGTTTAACACCAACTATTTTTAGCAACGCTATAAAGCTGACGTCTACAGCTCTGGGATCATTCTTATGGAATTGGTGAACCGCCGGTTTGGTCTTACAAAATTCGTAGAAACTTCTGTCACCGTTCAGTGCCCACTTTCCAAACGCGGACATTGTCTTTGACTTCGAAGTGCCGGATTATCTAGAAGAGATCCTAACGTCGTGAGACATTGAGACAAAACTAAAAGCTGATAAATTAGGTGCACGAATAGTTTTGTGGATCAACGCGCTACCTCTGACCAAACGCTCCAAAAAGTCATACGCCACTTGAGTGAGGTAATGCTTGGCTCAATAACAATACACGAACACATTAATTTAGTGCCACCCTCCCGAAATACGTCGAAATCAAAAATGGCCGGTGAAGCCGATCGGACTCGATGGCTCCAACCTCGAGCTGCCGACTCGGGAAGAAATCCCGAACGTTACACCTAATAGCTGGGCACTGAGCAGCAGGTTCTCGGAGGCTCCTCCACCGGTAACCAGTGACGCACGCGCTCCACGTTCCGCTCCTTTTGACGATCTAGTTGAAAAGGCAAAAGTCAAGACAAGTTTCCACCCGCGCATCATTCGCCACCGGTATCTGCCGGCAGCGCTAAGCAACTTACGCGTAATCTACGAACTCTCGGAAGAATGGCTTCAAGAACGAAATATAAATCAAATAAGAGCTACCCTAGCAAATACTGCTGTCGAACACCTTGAAAAGGTAGAGGACAAAAAGGATTTTGTCGAGAAAATCAGCAAATATCGTGGCTTCCTCCAGCAGAAACTTTTGGGTGATTTGCTGGAATGGCAACACCTCTCTTCGGGGCCGATTCGGGAAAGGCAAGTTTTGATAAAAATTAGTTAAGGATGCTTAGAATATCGAGGTCCCACGTTGATTTGTGGACCTGCCAACTTGAGAACAAAGTGCCAAATCTGGGAGGGGACGCAGGTGAGCCTTGATTTCGGGAGATCCGATACATTGGTTCCAGGAAAATTCCTACGACATGGTGTACCAAAAAGCACACCTGCGGCATTTCGCCGTATTACATCCGATCGGTCTCAAAATTGGACCAAAGACCCCAAACAACCAAAATCCTGAGTTTTTTATCACTGGATCCCTACAGTGGTTCTTGAGTTAGGGCCAAAATAATGTTTTCGATGCGTTTAGAACCTTTCGTCTCTCTTTTTGGACCCTCCATCGACTCCATCAAGCGCTACAGAAACTATGCAAAATTAGTTGTTAGAAAGCTTTTTGAATTGAGATGTAGCCCAATCTTCTGCCCTAGCTTCAAACCCATGCAAAAAAAATTAACAAATTGTTGGCAGAGAAGATTAGGCCAACTATACGATAGAGCACCCAAAGCTCTTCAAAACGATATCTTTGGATCAGTTGTGTTACCAAACCAGCCTTGAAAAACGTCCAAAACAAGAAAGCCCGCAAGAACTTTCGGAACAACATAATACACCTTTGGTCCAATTTCGGGTCCGATCGAATGTAATACGACCAAACGCATGAGGGGTGCTTTTTGGGAAACCCTGTATATATAAAAACCGTGTTTGTGTGTGCCACTTTGCATCCGGGTATAGGCAGGGCAAACGAAATTTTTTAACCCTGGTAATCATGAAAATTTCAAGCTCAAACATCAAGTATGTCGACGAGTCAAATTCAGCTACCGGCCTCGCAGCGAACGCGCTGATGCCCCTCATCAGGCTCGATTATTTTATCCAGCTCCATTGCACGTTCTCGGCGTTGGAAGTGATCGCACTTTGCAAAGAGACTCGGCATCGCCTTTCAGCACTCGACCTTTACAGGCTGGCCGCCATTGCACTCGCCAACATACAGGGTGGCCCGAAAGTACGTTGACCGGGTTTTTTCGGATTTTCTAAAAAACTATAAGTACTAGCAGGGTCATATTGACGTAGGATATTTCTTATACAATTACTTTCAACATGGTATTATCACTTTTCCTATTGACTGACTTAGATTCGGAAAAACTGGCCGAGAAGATTGCTGAAAATGAGGTGCCGGCACGCGGGTACTCGGCGTAGTGTTTGTCCCATAACTCAGCGAAGACTTAACTAAGGATGTTCAAATTTAGATGGGAACTAGTCAAGACCGAGGCCTTCAAGATCTATCACACCAAAAAATTTAGTCGGCTTAGGTTCTGCCTACAGAAGGGCGACTATGAGCGATCAAAAAACGCATGTTTCAAAACCTTAATAGCGGCTCCAGACACTTGCGCTCGTAGTCACAGGCAAAACAAGGCTATGAATTGTATTCCTAATGCAATTCTTCTAAATTTGGACAGGCGCGTGGAAGGCAACACTACCCCAGGTTTCCGTTAGAACCTTAATTGCACAGCACATGGCGAAAATTCCTGAAAATGGTAAAATCTAAAATTAATCCCCTTTGGATAAAAAGACATATGCTGGCTTTCTGAGTCATTTAGGAGGTGTGCCTAGCATTTTGGTAAAGCACGACCTTCCGGTGAAGGCTCAGGGCCCTCGCACAAGCGCAAGTGTCTGGAGCCGCTATTAAGGTTTTGAAACATGCGTTTTTTGATCGCTCATAGTCGCCCTTCTGTAGGCAGAACCTAAGCCGACTAAATTTTTTGGTGTGATAGATCTTGAAGGCCTCGGTCTTGACTAGTTCCCATCTAAATTTGAACATCCTTAGTTAAGTCTTCGCTGAGTTATGGGACAAACACTACGCCGAGTACCCGCGTGCCGGCACCTCATTTTCAGCAATCTTCTCGGCCAGTTTTTCCGAATCTAAGTCAGTCAATAGGAAAAGTGATAATACCATGTTGAAAGTAATTGTATAAGAAATATCCTATGTCAATATGATCCTGCTAGTACTTATAGTTTTTTAGAAAATCCGAAAAAAAACCCGGTCAACGTACTTTCGGGCCACCCTGTAGAACAACTCGACGGAATCTTTACAACGCGGTATCTTGTCGCCCTCCATCCAGTAGCGGTCAAAATGATGTCCGGTCGGGAAATCGTTTGTTGTACAAACCCGGTACATTCAAATTTTATCAAAATTTGTGTCTGGGTCAATTATGCTACTGGCAATCCGACGGCAATATCAAAATCCGCGCAAAATTAAAGTTTGATGCTCAGATATCGATTGCATAAAATTTGCGAAAATCAACTTATTCTGGGACATTTTCGGTTTTCAAAAATGTGTCGATCGTGTCCAGGAAGGTCGAAAACCTCTTTTCCGATATTTTGTGTATTTGCTGCTCCTAAGGCTTGGCTAATCTGAAGGCCGGAAGTTGCAGTCGCGGAGGCTGAAACCTCCGCGATAGGCCTTCGTGGGCCCCGAAATGAACTCGCCTGCGCAACTTCTCGGTCTCTTCGAAGCGAGTCAAAGCCCGATATGTGTGTGGAAATTAGTTATCTAGAGGTTTTCGACCCTCCTCACGATGGACACATTTTTCAAAACCGAAAATGCCTCAGCAAAAACTTGATTTTCCCAAATTTTTTAAAATCGAAATTTGAGCATCAAACTTTAATTTTTCGAGGATTTCGTCATTGCCATCGGATTGCCAGTAACATATTTTACCTAGCCGCAAATTGTCACAATATTTGGATGTATCGGGCTCGTACAACAAGCGATTTCCCGACCGGACATCATTTTGACCGCTACTGTATACCGTATTTCCTCTAATATACCCCCCCCTTCCCTAGAATACAGCCCGCTCATCTGCGGTGATTAAAAAATAGAGCCACTTGCCAAGAACTAAATTTAAAAAACCATTTTGAAAACAAATGAAATTTCCCGGAGATTTCCTTCGGAAGCCCTGTTGGCAGCCTCCTCTCCTTGATGCGCGCCCGGTTTGCCCCGTTGCCGTGCGAGGAAACCGTGAAAAATGGGGCGAGCCAAAATTAGGTCCGACAGTGTACATCCGCACTTTCAGTTTAACGTTTCCGGTTCTGTTGTACCAACAAGCCCGAGAGAAATGGTTCGACGTGGTTACGCTGGGAATGGTATTCCGAACCGACTTGAGCGCTGCCCAGCCAAAATGGCCAGAAAATCGTGAGATCTGGCGAGCCCGCCGCGCGCCATTAGGTTGAGTGTTAAGAACATGATTTATTACCAGAATCTCGACAAGCAGAATTTCGTAAATCAGGATCTCGAGAATTAGAACCTCGAGAACCAAGACCCGCACATTTTTAAAAAAAAGCGGGTGTTGGCCGGCGGCTTCCTAACTTTTCTTGATAGGCAAAAGGTATATATTCTCGAGATTCTGAACTTACGAGATTCTTATTTCGAGATTTTGATAGTTTCCCTGAGAACACCGTGGCCCATCATTCGATCATCCAGATATTGAAACCATCAGACGAACATTGATTGACGAAATGACGACACTTCGACAGCCAAACCCCTTCCAAGGCCAGGCTTATTGTAGGATGCAGTTGGAGTGTAGCGGCGATTTTTGGGAAATACAAAATATATTTGATCTGGAGCTTACTACCGTTTGCCTTTGATTTTGGTCCGAAACGCGTAAAACCATTCAGGAAAAGTGTAAGGTACACCATATTTGGAGCGTTCTGAAGAAGCATCGCGAAGCTGCTCGCGAGGATCCCATAAAAGTAAGCTTCGCTCAACCATGGTGTTCGGCGTCTCGTTCCATTTAATTATGACAGTGACAAATAATATAGCAGAATTCAACAGATATTGCGTTTAGCGCTATTTATTTTTCCTGGATGAGCCGCCAATGTTCCGCTGTTCTGAGGAGACGGATTGCCCGAGGGCGGGTGGGCACTTTGGAGTTACACTTATAAAAAATTAGGTTACCCAACTGATGTGCCGGAAGAACTGCAACAGCAATATCACCCATGCATCAGTCCTGAGAAGCTGGCATTCTTGAAAGCCTATTCGGCGATGAACCGAGCGATCCGTTACTATTTGATGCTGGATTATCCGAGCAGCCGAAATCGCCCGCTAATCTTTCTGCTTGATGGCCTGCTGAAGGAGGTTACAGACGGCAAGGTATGGCTTGTGCAAGGATCTAGTCATTCTATTAGGATCTAGTTACTCTTACATTTTCCAGCTGGATGATATCGCATTCAATTGCCTGACGGCGACTACAACCCGCGAACACCGGTATGCGATCCGAGGAACCTTTCACCCGGTTGCAAACGTGTAGTTGAGGCGGCCGTTGGGCCGGGTACCCGGTTAACCGGGTAGTTGGGTCGACTGAATCCGAACGGGCACCCGGTCGGTCAACTGAATGTTTGAAGCGGTTTCTCCGCGGCTTTTCCATAGCACCCGCTCCGTACGCACCAGGCACCCAGGCACCGGATGCTCGGGGTTACTTTCATAATTCACGAATTTCCATAATGTATAATTTCATAACACCAAATTTTATACTGCCGAATTTTCATTAAGCCGAAGGTTTATCTGTCCAATTTTTAAAAAAATCGCTGAATTTTCAAGAGTAATTTTTTTATACCGCAGAGTGTCATAGCGCCGAATTCTTTTCCTGAATGCTGAAAATTATTGTTTTGGCGAGCATCGAGTTTTTCATACAAGATGAGAATGTGTTTGCTAGCCTTTTTACTAACGTATTATCCTTACTGCATAAATAAAGTCTATTTATTAAATTTACACTCAAGGTTGGTGGCGCAATCTTCACAGATCTCGCCGTTTCGAAAATTCGGTGTTTTAAAAAATTCGGCGCGATAAACATTTGGCGATATGAAGATTCGACATGATGAAAACTTGTCATTATAAAATTGCGTAATATGAAGTTCGCCATGATATTAATTAGGCATTATGGTGTAAATGGGGTGCCGGGCCCGGAGCCAATATAACCACTCTAGTCGCAAATCCGTCGTCAATGCGAAGAAATTTAAAAACCGTCCCGGCGATGTTGTGCCGGGCTATCTCATCCAAGCGCCAACGGATAATTACACTACGCTTTGGGAACTTCGCTTGGGTACAACGCTCGTACACGAAGACCTCGACTTGGACTTGACAGGTTGAAAACATGAACAATGAAAACAAAACATGAAAAAGCAAACACGACCGGCCCACGAGAAATCGACACGCGACATAGTGGATCTGATAGAATCGGACACGGGGATTCCGAATCTGTAATCAGAATCTGCTAAATAAAACGGAGAAAAAAGTTATGGAGCTTCAAAGTTAGCCAAATCGCCAAAAACGGTACCTTTAAGGGCCCTTAAAAGCTGGGGGAACGGAATTGAGCAGAAAAGAGTTAGTGCATCTTCTTCAGCAGAAAAAACGCTTTCGAATGAGCCATCTTGCTTTAAGTTTACGATGATTTCGCGGAAATCTCTTCTGTGAACTTGGCAGGCCATACCCTTGCCCGTGAATCCAAAAAAACCTTTTTTCGGTGAATTGTTTGCAAATGGTACGTATTACAGCTCATACGAAAGAGCTTTTTCTGCTGAACGAGATTCACTAACTCTATTCTGCTCAATTCCGTTCCCCCCAGCTTTTACGGGCCCTTAAAGGTACCGTTTTGGCGATTTGGCCAACTTTGAAACTTCGTAACTTTTTCCTCCGTTTTATTTAGCAGATTCTGATTATAGATTCGGAATCCCCGTGTCCGATTCTATCCGATTCACTATGTCGATTTCTCGTGGGCCGGGCGTGCACTTCCCTTGTAAGCCAATACTAAGCTAACCTACGCTTAAGCGAAAGAAAAACTAAAAGAAG